ATGGTTTTTGTGTATTCATCCCTACCTTGTTTCTGTACATTTTGCCATTGCAATTCCTACATCATACTTAATTTTTGCAAAATAGTTTTTATTACTTGTTTACCCTCTTTTTTTTTAATTAGTTTCATTGAAGTAGAATGATAATTAAACTTTTTATTTTATTTTTATAATTCAATGGTAATGTGTATTGTTAATATCTTATCAGTTTTGTCAGTTTCTTCATTGTTCTTTTAGAATGACCTCGGATATTGATATTGTACCATACAATTTGCTACAAAGATTATTAATCATCACTGGTCATAATATTGACTTCTTGGGGTTTAATGTTAAGGAACGTGTGAAAAATGTAAAGCTGTATCATTTCTATATTAATGTTTGCATTCATTTTGGCACTGCCATCCCTACATCATTTTACATTTACAAAATGTTTTTTATTATTTTCTGACGGTTTTTTCCCCTGACTGGAAGTTAATGTGTTCTATGAATGTGTGTATTAAAATTTAATATTATTTGTTTTGATTTTTTTTACTTCTTCACTTCATACATAATATAGGGGTTGGCTCCCTAAAGATACAGACTGCATGGTGTACAAAGTATTGAGTATTCTACCTCACAGTCATATAATGTTCATTTATTATTATTATTTTTAAAGGAACAACAGCATTTTGTGAGAAAGCTATCTTCAAGGTGCAATGATAACATAGTTTACACCAGAATTATGATTTTTTTACCTTATACTAAGCAGTACCGTGCTTAGTAATAGCCTATTCCCAAGTACTCTTAAAATGCTTTCCTGTCATATTAAAGCCATTGTGAAAACTTCACACATTCTTTGGCTAGCATGAGAAAAGAAAGATGAACATTTGACTCTTTAGCTAGTTCCCAGTTCTCCACTTTAGCAACACTTTTCAATGATATTGGGAGTCTCACAAGCTGTGAAACAAGTGAAGTGGCAATTAGGTGCTTAGATAAGGCTATAACTTAACTTTAGCAGTTATTTGTAAGCATCATAGATTAATAGATTGTATGCGGCAACCATTTTTTTCTCAACCCATCCCTATATACTAAGCAGTACCATACCTAGTTATATATATGTACATACATTATATATATTTACTGGTCCATAAGATTAGTACTAACATATATTTATAATTTAGACTTCAAGAGGATAAAGAGAAGCTGGAAAAGCAACTTTGTTCAGCTCCATCTTTCCAAGACATCGAAAGGTAAGGCTATAGGTTAGTTTCTGCCATGTTCATTTCCAGGATTATTTTTTCAACATTATTCTTTGATAAATATTTACTGGTTTTTGGTGATGCATGATGGAAAGACCATTATTTTGCATTTTTCAACCATTTGGCATTTGTTCATAAGTTTTTGATAAATTAGTAGAAAATTTTTATGTTCTTGTCTCATAGGAATAGATATGTAGGAAGTATACAGTACTGATTTACTGTAGCATTTTGTCCATATTCAGTGATTTAATATTTTTACTGTTCATGAGCTTTCATTGCAGTGGCTATTAAGGAGAATGTGTTTGGGTACTTTTCTGTACAACTTAGTAAATGTGTTCATTAACTCCTTAAAATTGTCAGTACTTTTCTAAGTAATATGCATAGTTAATATATTTTTCGATCTTACCTCTACACAGGATTCTGCATTTTCTATTCAAAACACAGATTTCCAAAACTACTTACCTCCTTTTACACTACAGCTATTACTCGAATACTGGGGTTTCTTTTCCTTTGCCCATCTAAGCATTGATCTGATTTTTTCTTGCTTGCTCCAATCTTTTATTCCCCACTTAATTTTCCTTGGCGATATATATCTCGTGATGCTCTCTGCCTGCATCAATGTGCCCTCTATCCTGGTACTGTATATAAGCACCTCATTCAGATAATATTATCACTTTTTTCTCGACAAAGCGTTCACTAACAGGTTTCTCTGTACTATGACCATTGTAGATATGTTGAGCATTCTTTTTGTTAGCTATTTGACTTTCATTAAAAAAAAGTCTCTGTTTGACAAGCCAATATATGGCATGAATTCTCAGATTACTGTTTCCGGGAAGGAGACAAATCACATCTCTCCTATCCCACCTATGATATCTAGTGTCACTCAAAAGTAGAGAGTCACTCTCAGTTGAGGCTGTTCATAACCTTATTTGTAGTGAGATGGAGAGATATATTTGGTCTGGTGTTGTTTCTCCAGGGTGGCTCCGAGGCTGCACTTGCAGGTGATCCTGGACATTCTGGAGAAAATCTAAATTCGCTTTTTCCAGCACATTCTTTTACTCTTTTAACTTCTCATGATGTCCATTTGGTACAGCCACTCCCAGCTCTTTTTCTTCAGTCGGTAAATTGAATGAATGATGTTTTGGGCCTTTCCCTGGTTGCTTTTGAGTCTACGCCTTTCTTGATGGCAGAATGGTGGAAGGGCAAATACTTGGTTCTCCCTACATCCCTTGATATTGCAGTTCATGCAGATAATCTTACGGCTCAGTTACATGAAGGGACAGCTATGCCTTGTTCACCATGTTTGTTGGAACAACATGCTTTAGCCTACCACCTCCAGGTGGACATGTATTTAGACTCTCAACAAATAGACCCACTCCTGGAAATATGGGTTTCCAGAATGGAGTCTGTGGTCCATCCGAATATATCACAATTTTCTAGGATTCGTCTGATACTAACTACAGTGCTAAGATATTTATCATCCCTCCAACTTTTGTTGGAAGCATTTCAGTGATCACCACACCTATTTGAGGATGAGTTGGGGCAAATGTTAGCATCTGACTTGGTTTGATTGTCAGCTACTGCACATTCCCTAGTCTCTTGGCTGATATGTTGTTGGGTAGAGAGGCATTTTTGGAGGGTGTTTGTCTACCAGCTGCTGCCCTCCATGAGTTATGTGAGGCCCACTTTCTCTAATCCTCGATTTTTGCAGGCATTCCAGAGTCTGGAATCAAGGGTTGATGTCACTCATCTGCATTCATTCCTGTTGTCTCGATCAATTGGTACCCAGAATAGATTCCACCAATATCCACGAGGTTCTTCTGCTTGGTCAGAATGCTACCAGTGGCAGTGACTGCCATATGCCTTTACCATGAATCCATGGATAAGGTCCTTGCATCAGGATTAATCATTCAGTTAACATCTTCACCACCATTATCCACCCATCCTGTAGTGTTTCTGCTTCCTGCAGATACACAGATTTGTTGGTTAAGGGGGCAGTGGAGAGAGTTGTTCCAGTTCTTATTCTCATCTGTTTTGTTGTGTTCAAGTAGGCAGGAGATTGTCATCCAGTCATTGATCTTTCTTGTCAAAATCAATTCCTAGATCTTCCAAGGTTCACAAGAGAGTTATTAGTCACTCTGAATTTGCATTTTTACCAGGACTGGATGACCAAGTTCAATGTTGCCCACATCTGTCTGCACGTTCCCATAGTGGAGTCATTCCGCCACTATCTGCATTTTAGCACGGGGATAAGGTGCTGCAGTTCAGGGCTCTGACTTTCAGACTAGCATCGGCACCACATGTGTTCTGCCGAATCGTATGAGCTTTTTCTCATCACCTCCATTCCCTAGGCCTGTGCACACACCATGGATGACTTGTTACTGCTGGCACTATCTCATCAATTGGCGAAATGTCACACCCAGATACTACTTTCAGAAGCAACCAAGGCAGGCTTTATTATCAGAGCTGAGAAATCTATTCTCACTCCAACACTATATATCATTCATTTGGGTGCCTTTTCCAACACGCATCTCAATCGAACTCAGTTAATTCCCATCCGGCTCCATGCTATGGAACAGACAGTTTCTTTGGGATGAGTGCACATGAGATCCCTTTAGTGGTCTCTATGTGACCAATGGATCATGAACAGTGATCCATTGGATTCCCCAATCTCCTTATTCAGGATCAACATCTTTGCTCTTGAGTGGTGGTTAGATTTGAACTATACTACAATAGGTGTTCCTCTGCCACCACCTTGTACTGAAATCCAGCTCTTCACGGATTCCTTACTTCAGGGATGGGGTGCATATTTCAACAGTCAGGAATTCCAGGGCCTAGGGATGGACAACAAGGTTTTTTTTACACATCAGTGTTTTAGAACTTTTTGCTGTTAAAGGATGATGTCTCAAGGTCTGAACTTGTTGAAGGGGAAAAATCCTCATGCTTCACTCCAACGATTCCACAGTGGGGTCTTACATTTCCCATCAAAGGGGCACTTGGTCCAGGCCTCTTTGTTTTTAAACCTTGGATCTTTTTTATTAGGCCCACTCCCATCATATCATTCTACTAGCTTGCCATGTTCTGGGAGTGATGAATTTGGTAGCAGATCAATTGTCTTGACACAGCCGGATTCTTCCGACAGAATGGATAATGTATTGCGAAAGTTTCCATTGGATTTGCTCTCAGGTTGGTGTACAGATGATCGTTGCATCTGCCACTCATTGGAACACTCAACTACTGGCATTTTGGTCTCTATTATTTCTCTCTCTCTCTCTGGCATTGCCAACAGATACATTAAGTTATGACTGGATGGGATTGCACCCCTATGCCTTCCCACCAATTCATATGTTACCCAGAGTACTAGCTATGATTCGTTCAACCCTTTGTTGTGTTCTGTTGGTAGCACTGGGTTGACCAGCTCAACCCTAGTTTCACTTCTGAGGAACCTTCGGGAGTGTTCTGTTGGTAGCACTGGATTGGCCAGCTCAAATGGTTTCTGCTTCTGAGGTACCCTCAAGAGAGTCCATCTCTTCCACTTCCTCTTTGGCCATCTCTGTTGAGGCAGCTATGATCCAGCATTGTACACCCAGCCTTCTCGAAGCTCAAGCTTCATGCATGAAGTAACTTATGTGGTCCTTTGCACAGCATCGGGGTTTAACTTCTAAGGTTGCCATGTATCTGTCTCATTCCTTGCATAGTCCCACAATGGACATTTATCAACGGAAATGACACACATATTGACAGTGGTGTATTGTGAGGAGGTTGAACCCACTTTGTCCAGAAGTGCCAACCATAGGTCGTTTTATTAACTGGCTCATTGACAAGGGTTTCGCATCTTCCACGATGCAACATCATATACCCAGCCATCCCGAAACTCAAGCTTCATGCATGGAGGTCCTTTGTACGGCATCAGGGTTTAACTTCTGAGGTTGTCACGTATCTGTTTCAGTCCTTGCATAGTCCCATGTTGGACATTTATCAAAGGAAATGACACAAATATTGACAGTGTATTTTGAAGAGGTTGAACCCACTTTGTCCAGAAATGCCAACCATACATAGCTCATTTTTTGACCTGGCTTTTTGACATGGTTTCACATCTTCCACAATTGCCTTATTTTAGGTGGCCTTATTGACTACCATTAGATACTCTAAGAGAAAAACATTATTTGAGTCCCCAATGCTGGGTTATTAAGGTGGTATTACATGCTCTTTCTCAATGTCTGTTTGAGCCCTTAGCCTCATATACCATGTATTACCTTTCCCTTATGGTTTATTTTTTATTGTTCCTGGCCTGTGGACATCGCTGATTAGCATTGTTTGCACTGCATGTGCAGAGGTTGCTTTATCATTCTACCTACGTCCTCCTATACCCAGACAGGTCTTTCTTACCTAAGACACTGGTAGCCAGGGAAGGGAATAAATCCTTTTCACCGATTCATCTGATTGCTATTTCTCACCTCTATGACCAATCAGATCCTGATCATTTGTTATGTCCAGTGAGAGCCTTGAAGAATTATGTTGCCCACACTAATGCCTTTAGAGGTGCTAGACAGTGACTTTTTATTCATTGGGATCCTTCAGTTTCCTGGTATTTATTCCCGGTTACTTTGACATGGTGGGAACAAATATTGATCCATATTGCTTATTCTGGTCTCTATCGTCACATTTCTATGTCCTTAGCAGCCTGGTTGAATTGCTTGCTGGTATGTTGATCTCCTCCAATGCTTTTATCTTACATTATTTACATTATCTGGCAGTATCTTCTTCTGAGGGTTTTCGACTACCCCCTTGTAGCTATCTTAACAACATTAGCTAGATTATAAAGGGGATATGTATATTCATTACTAATATTGTCTCTTCTTTACTTTCTAGGGTCCCTTACCTCTTTTCCACAGGATCCCTCTCTGTGGTGAGTGTTGCCCAGGCAAGTGTGCTTTTATCAAACCAATTCTGCACTAACAACCATTAACACAATATACTTTATCTAGGTTGCAACAGGCTCTGTAGAAATGAGGTGTTACATAAGACCAAATAGAGGCAGACTGGGTGGTATTATGGTACTATGCTGGACTGCCACTCATGGACTATCATGAGTAAAGCATACGGGGATCCTGCCGATCATTGGATTGAATAAATCAGGGTTGTTTTGCTTTTAAAAATTTAGGGAATTTGGTTCACCTATTGCACTATTTCCAGAGCATTGTTCTTCAGAACTCCCCAATGCGCATTACCCCCCCGTATTCTATTAGTGGAGCTAGGGAGTCCTTACCACTCCCAGTTTCCAGTCACGAGGGGGGGGGGTGAAAGTTATTCCCCCAGAGTGTTTGGGTGAATTTCCTCCACTTTTAGAGAAGAGTGCAAAGTTGGGGGCAATTCTTCCCGGGACCCCTATTCGTAATGCTGGTTCAGATTTGATGCTCAACTATCCAGTTGGGTTGAGTGTGGCCCTTCTTTTTTGATCAGTATTGGTTCAATACATTGTTCATGGAAGAAAGTCCATTGTCTCCTCGTAATTCTGAAAGCAGAGTGGTTCCATTCTGGGTCCTTGTTTGAGCACAGTTTGCTCCACATCCTCCCCATAATTCTGGGAGCAAGTGTAATTTACCTTGTCCACGTGGTTGGGGAGTGAGGATGAGTGTTCATAATTCCTTTAGGGTGTTGCCTTTCGGATTTCATAAGGTTAAAGAGAGGGTTTGTCCACTTGGGTGTTGTTTACCTTCTCGTTGAGATTTCTGTGGCTTGGAATGCATCACTCTGTAGCTATAGATTGGGATCCACTCACACATGTGTGTGTATATATATATATATTGCAGTCCAAATGCCCTAACCACCAACATAAGATTTAGTTGCCATGGCCCTATAATTCCAACCCCTAGCAATGGTACCTCTGCTACCTGGTTGGAGCCTGGCCAATGGTGATGACAGATTACGTCATAGTCAACCCACAGTGCATGATTTAGGTTCTCTGTGAAGAGCATACCTGTTCTGAATGTAGTGCAGTTCCCCTACTAGGGTGCTAATCTTCTATTGGCAAGCCTATGGTCTATGCAGACACATTCTGTATAGATAATGTCCTCACCAGCCCCTTCATTTTATCAGTGTGGGATTCTAGCTGTAGTGTGAGAAGAGGTAAGTATGATTTGGAAGTTATCATTTTCTTAAATCAAAAATGTATTTCCACTAATATTTACCTCCTATCACACTCTTCCCTGTACTAAGAGCCAGTGTTAGAGACTGCGGATTGAGTCGGTCTCAAAAAAGTAATAATAACATCTGAATGAGGTGCTTATATACAGTACCAGGATAGAGGGTGCATTGACATAGGTGGAGAGTGTCATAAGACAAATATTGCCAAGTGCAATTATGTGGGGTATAAAAGACTGGAGCAAGTGAGAAAAAATCAGACCAATACTTAGATTGGCAAAGGAAGAAACCCTAGCAGTTGAGTAATAGCTGTAGTGTGAGAGGAGGTAAGTATTATTAGAAATACTTTTTCAATTTAAGAAAATGTTAACCTTCATGCTGCCAGCATATATATATAAAAATACATTAATACCTCAAGCAACTCTGAAATTTCAAAACTGTAAACAGTAATTCTAATACCACTCGTGATAATTAAGAGTGTGTTGAATGATTGATTGATCAATGATTGTCATTCAGTGACTTTAGTCTGGCCCCCTTGCATAAAAAAAGTTAAAAAAGAATATTGCAATTTTTACACTGAAAAAATTAATTAACTGTAAATCCCCTAAGATTTTAGACTCTTTTGTTTTTTACTTTCCTTCTGTGTAACTTTTTTTTCAGCCTTCATGCCAAACTATCAGAAAGTTATTCTAATAGTCAGGAGCTTCAGAACAGTTTGCAATTGATGACACAGGAAACACTAGAATTTCAGACAAAGGTTGAACAGGTTAGTTTTATTGGTTCTTTATTTAATTTGCAGAGTAATACAAGACTTTGAACTCTGAAGTTGAGGGAGGATATCTTTTTATTTGGGGTGGGGTCAGATTGTAAACTTGTGGTTACCTGTTGAAATGTGCAAACTATGGTCCATGGTTTACATCCTACTGCTACATAATCATGCTCCACATTTTAGAATCATTGGTGCATTATCAGAGTGAGACAGTCGAATAGCACTAATCGGTTGAGATAAGACCAAGATTTGGAAGTGGTTTATGTTGACTAGCTGCTGTCCCTTTAGTTTATCTGTTCAAAATTAATTGTGAATATCCAAAACAGACACTTGGTTTTATTTTAATGGTCCATGTTGGCAGAATTAACATTTATTTTGAATCAGGATAGACTCCATTAATTGTTAATACCATGGTGAAAAAGATATATGTACTGTATCAAGTAATATCACAAAGTTCTCATCTGTAATGCTTACTGTATCAAGTAATATCACAAAGTTCTCATCTGTAATGCAAGTAATATCACCAAGTTCTCATCTGTAATGCTTACTGTATCAAGTAATATCACCAAGTTCTCATCT